TAGAATAACCATATAGCCAGAGTTCACGTTCTCAATTTAAGCTCAGAATTGTTGATACTCACATCTGGGGGGAAATTTTTTTTAAACCGCCTTTCCCTGTAAAGTAGTTATTAGCACGGGGCCTGTCATATAGCTGTATCCCTGAATGTGATCCTCAGGCCTGAGCCCAGCATTACACGGGATCAGTGATGATATAACATAGTGGACTTCATCCAAAAAGCTCCTTAGTGGAAGATTTGGTATAACAGCTTTGGAAATGTATAAATCTCTCAGTGATAGATCTCAGGATCAAGACTTTAGGGCCTGTATGTATTATTTAATCTGTATATGATATTCGCCATCTTGAGATGCCAGAGTTGTATTTATCTTTGCTTTAACGCAAACCTGTCCCCAAGTCGGAAGTTCGCTTTATAGCAGGGAGAAAATATAGTACAGTTTTCCTTACAGCTCCCCACCTCGACCTTTCGTTTGCTGGATTTCCCCTTTAAGTAATTATTATTATACAGGATTTATATAGCACCAACAGTTTGTGCAACACTTTATAATATAAGGAGGACATTGCAGTTATAATACAAATGAAGACAAGATGGTGAGGAGGGGCCTGCCCGTGAGAGCTTACAATCTAAAAGCGATGGGCAAGTGATACATGAGGAGGTAGCTGTGTGGGGATGAATTGTTTGAGAAAGTGATTGTTCAGTGGTTAGGTTGAGGCTGGATAGGCTTCCCTGAAAAGATGAGTATTTTGGGATCGCCCAAAGGTAGACAGTAGGTGTAACGAGCCCCTGCTCGCTCGGTTCCACTCTCCCGGCACTCCTCTGCTACTAATGGATCAGATGTCAGACCGCACGTCTGATTCTTCGATCGTCCGATAATCCGGGATTCGAACTACAGCTATGTGCCGTTCGAATCCAGCTCAGAACAAACACCAGGCAGGCTGTATGTAAGTTCCAACAGGGATCTGCTTTATTGAAGACTAGCTCAGTATATATACAGTCCAAGAAGTCTAAACACATAACGCAATCAAACATGAACAGCATGCAAACATCCACTCCCCCTCCCCGATGCCTTAATGAATGAATAGGGAGGGAGGAGACACATGTGATGGGATTATCTCCTGAGTGTATCATAGTGTGATTTACTCATCTACACCTGGAGTCAGCTACTCCTAGAATCAGCCATCCTAATCCCATCATTAACACAATACAACAAAAGGACCAATAAACTGTAACAGTTCAATGTCCAGAATTATCCCCCTTCAGTGCTCCTGGAGTCACAGCCTGTACCTATAATACACACAGGGCCATCCAAATGTAATGCCAGGGAACATGTACAGTACATCCCCCCATACATAAACCTGGTAGAATGGTTCATTGTAACCCCAAGAAGTCCGAGGGGGGTCTCCATAGTTCTGGGTCCATAGTCAGTTGGAAGGAGGCTAGCCCCTAGGCTCCTCCAACAGCACCAGTGACGGTTCAGTCCGTCACAGTAGGCATGCACCGATACCGCTTTTTTGGCATCGAGTACCGATATTTTTTCCCAATAACAGTGCAGTGTGCCCCGATTATCAGGAAGTAGGGCAGCGGATCATGACCCGTCGCCCAGCTTCCTGATTGCCTGTAAAGCCAGTATTCTAGAACACCGGCTTCACTTGCCAAGGCTGCCTGGCTACCTGACCAATCAGGAAGCCAGACGGCGAGTCATGAGGTGCCGTCCGGCTTCCTGATTGATCAGGCTGCCTACCAGCAAGTGAAGCTGGCTTCCTAGCCAGTCGGGAAGCCGGGCGGCATGTCATGACCCGCCTCCCGGCTACCTAATTGGCTAGGAAGCCGGTTTCACTTGTCCCTAGGCAGCCTGGCTTTCTGACCAATCAAGGAGCCGGGAGGTGTGTCATTATGTGCCGCCTGGCTTCCTGATTGGTTTGGAAGCCAGGCTGCCTAGCAACAAGTGAAGCTTGCTTCCTAGCTGGAGCATAACCCACCGCCTGCGGCTCCATGCTGCCTCGGCACTGCTGGTCAGAAGGAGATCTCCCTATGACCGGAAGCTCTGGTATCGGAGGTTAGCATGGGAGCATTTGGGCGAGTACGAGCACTGACCCAAATACTCCGTATCGGCACTGATACTAGTATCGGTGTATCCCTAGTAGACAGAGTAGGAGATAGCCAGACAGGTTGGGGTAAAGGGTTCCAAAGGATGGAAGAGACTCTAGAGAAGTCCTGGAGGTGGGCACGGGAGGAGTTGACGAGGAAGCTAGGGAGCAGGAGGTCTTGGGATGAGCAGAGGGGACGGTTAGGGTGATACTTTGAGACGAGGTTGGAGATATAGCCGGAGGCAGAGTTGTGGATGGCGTTTTAAGTGTGTGTTATTATTTTAAGCTTTATCCTTTGGGTGATTGGAAGCCAGTGTAGGGGTTGTGGAGTAATTGTGTATATAGTGCTTAAGGGTGTTTGTTGGTGGCAATGATCACAAGTACAAATAAAGGGATGACTCTACATTATGGGGACAGCAAAAAAAAAAACTTGGCAGCGGGTCTATGGCTTCCCTATTTTGTCCAAAACTAAAAAAGGTTTTGCTTAGAGATATACCCCAAGCAGTGTATCTATAAAACATTTGCAGGGTGAACAGCTCTCGCAGTGCAACATGGCCACTAGAAAAAGCCGAGGAGCAGCTGAAATTCCTATGCTCCTTTGCTCCATCTAGTGGCCATAGTGTGCTCTGAACCTAAAACTCAGTCGCAGAGCTGTTCTCCCTGCAAACCTTTTTATAGTGTTTCTTGTTCATTTCGTGCCTCGCTGCAATTCTGCCTGACAGTCTGTCTAATTTGTAATGATAACATCTCCACAGTCTTTAAAGAGGTGAGAAACCAATAAAGCTGCTGGTTGCCAGTGACCGTGTGAGACTAGACGACTTCGGCTTTAAGTCACATGATGGAGCTCCAGAGCAGCAGATTTTTATTCATGGCTATAACAAAGGGGTTTTTTGTGTGATTTGGTAAAACTGACATGCGCATTATTAATTCATGTGAAGTGTGAATTTTAATGTCGGATTGTCATTAAGCGAAGGTCAGTGCGGACCGAGGAGAAACATCAGCTGAAGCACATACTGTATGTTTAGCGCTGATATATCTACCTATAGTAATGTCCTTTTTTTGTGACCCCCCCCCTCCAACCCTGCCTTATGGCAATTTCCCTTCCACCCACCAGCTTGCAGAGCTGGAATTCCTAATTCAAATTTCAGTTGGCGTGTGGGAATTCATTATAAAGGTTTTCAAGTAATTACATTGTATGAGCTGTTCTAAGCAACATGGGGAATACGGACTATGTCTTTTCTATTAACTGAAACGCTCTTGCTAATGAAACCAAAAACAGAGACCTATTGCATGTCAGCTCTGCGATAAGCAATTTTGTTATAACTCAGGCAATTAACATTATGATTATTTTTATAGACCAGCAGACAGAAATGGGCTTTTGTAAGAATGTGGATCTCCACCCCTAATTTTGTAACTTACCTCTCAGGGATGGGTGTGTGTGCTGTTATTTAGTTGTACTCTCTCCGTGTCAAAGCAGAAATGTCAGGCTGTAAGGCCCTCATGGAGGCTGACCTGTCTCCTGCCTGAGTTCAAAACTGATCAATGACACCGTCTGGGCTGCTTGAGGAGTGTAAAACTATGCCTTTAGATTTCATTCATGTAATCCTGGCAGCTTTCTTGTTATATACATTTTCTAAGTGTCTATTATCAGCACGAATGTGAATCTCTTATGTGTATTGGCATTGCCCTTCCCCCCAAACTGAGACCGTTCTGAGGCCAAGGTCCGTATTCGGAATTTTTATGTAGAGCTGAATCTATACTTGATTGTATTGCTGTGTCAGTGTTTTACATCTATGTCTACTTGAACTAAAGAATTTACAAATGAAATCATCAGAAATTGAGTAATATATTATGGGTGGGGGATGCACTAGCATAGCAGCTCCCTAGTTCTCTTTAGAGTGAACAGCAATGAGGATCACCAGCACTCATGGGATGAAATTGCTGTTTACTCTGTAGGCGCAGGACGCCATCCGTGGACATCACTACAAGCACCACCATTACTTCTGGTCTTTATTGCTGCATGGTGGGCAGGGGACATATTTGTTTATTGATCTAGTTCTCTTTAGGGTTTTGGGTATGATTGCATTCCTCCCAACTTGAGATGGGAACATTTTACCATGCGGTGTACAGGCAAAGGACACACCATGCCTTGTCCCCAGTTGCCGACAATTGTGCTGGGATCCGCCCAGTTGCATGACTGACAGCTGGCTCTGCCTATCTAGAGGCAGAGCCAGCTGTACCCGCCCCCTCCCTTGTCCGTTCCGCCAGTCAGCGCTGGCGGATCGGAGTGGGGGGAATCCAGCCCCTCCCCTGTCACTGCAGAGAGCCGTGACAGGATCAAGAGGTGAGCGAACGCCGGTATGTGTTCGCTCACCTCCCGATCTACTGAGCCGACCTTGTCACAGGTCGGCTAGAACTATGAGGTGAGTGGAAATCACTCGCCTCATAGTTCTCCTTTAAACCCACAATTGCTTTGGTTTCATGACTTATTTTCTTATGTACTGGCTTTTAAAATAACATTTGCACTCATTTAGAAGTTGGACGAAAGGTTTGGCATAGTACAACACTTTTGGTCGTTAAATAGCACAGGTCACAAATCAGAATAGCTGAGGAGGTGTAGAGGGACGGAGGGATTTGGTCCCACCAAATCAGGGATGGTTGTGAGTTATGGGACTGCTGCTTCATCAGTCCATGGCGAATGCTGTATGATGTTCAGAACGTCTTCCTTTAATGCTTGCAGAAACATACTCAGATTAACGTGTTTAATTTGTTATCTTGTCAGCAAAAGCGAATCGAATCTTAAGTATTGATCACGCCTCCACAGTGGCCGGGAGCTACCGGCTGACTGGCGTTTGTTAATTGACTTTTTGTACGAGCCGAGAGATAATTGTGTCGATTCTTCTTGTGTCTGCAGGGCTGCTCGTGGTCTGTTATATTTGTGGATCTTGATGCGCACAACCGGAACAGGCAGACTCTCTGCTCCCTGCTGCCAAGAGAGTCCCGATCTCATGTAAGTCCGCAAAGTGGAGGTCAGACAACACACATTTATTTAACCATTGATGACAATCCTACGTTGCTCAATGGGTTACCCAGAAACCTATCATGCTAAAGGTTTAAATGAAAATGCACAGGGAGGGAGGGGGGCACCTGCAGAAAAATATTTAAAAAAATTGTAACAGAAAGCCACAGCATAATAAATTTGTGGGTTCTCAGACAAAGCTGGAGGGTCTAACGAGCATGATTTCTGATGACTGGTTAGTCTAGCTCTTCATTCCAATACCACCCACCAACATGTTAGCTTTAACTTTGATATCATTACTAAGCTTTGTGCAAGTGCATTTGCTTAATACAATGACCCTCAGCCCTTAGGGCGTTGATGAATTCTCAGTTTTACTTCAAATATGCAAGCGTGTGGTCTTTTTCTTGCATATCACACATCTATTATTACAATCTATGCATCACCGGTTTAAACTAATGCGAGTTCCCTTATCTCTGATCCGCAGAACACGGATGCTGCACTCTTGACATGTATAAGTTACCCGGCCTTTGCAGTGGATGACGATACTTTGTTTAATCAAACCATGGATAAGATTGTCCGTAAACTGAAAGGGAAATACGGCTTCAAACGTTTCCTTCGGGACGGATATAGGACAGCTCTGGAAGATGAGAACAGGCGATACTACAAACCGGCTGAAATAAAGGTACCAGACGTCTTCCCTCTCTGGGTTCCACAGAGCTAAAACCAAAGTTTTTTTGTTTTTTTTGCTTTACTTCTCTTTTAAGTTACAGCAATGCATACACTCACCGGCCACTTTATTAGGTACACCATGGTAGTACCAGGTTGGACCCCCTTTTGCCTTCAGAAGTGCCTTCATTCTTCGTGGCATAGTTCCAACAAGGTGTTGGAAACATTCCTCAGAGATTTTGGTCCATATTGACATGATAGCATCACGGGCCCAAAGTGTGCCAAGAAAATATCCCCCGCACCATTACACCACCACCAGCCTGAACTGTTGATACAAGGCAGAATGCGTCCATGCTTTCATGTTGTTTACGCCAAATTCTGACCCAACCATCTGAATGTTGCTGCTGAAATAGAGACTCATCAGACCAGGCAACTTTTTCCCAATCTTCTGTTGTCCAATTTTGGTGAGCCTGTGTGAATTGTAGCCTCCGTTTCCTGTTCTTAGCTGGCCGGAGTGGCACCCGGTGTGGTCCTCTGCTGCTGTAGCCCATCTGATTCAAGGTTGGAGGTGTTGTGCGTTCAGAGATGGTATTCCGCATAACTCGGATGTAACGAGTGATTATTTGAGTTACTGTTGCCTTTCTATCATCTCTAACCAGTCTGCCCATTCTTCTCTTACCTCTGCCATCAACAAGGCATTTTCTTCCACACAACTGGCGCTCACTGGATATTTTCTCTTTTTCGGACCATTCTCTGTAATCCCGAGAGAGGGCTGTGCGTGAAAATCCCAGTAGATCAGCAGTTTTTTAAAAACTTAGACCAGCCTGTCAACCATGCCACCTTCAAAGTCACTTAGATCCCCTTTCTTTCCCATTCTGATGCTCGGTTTGAACTTCATCAAGTCGTCTTCACCGCGTCTAGATGCCTGAATGCATTGAGTTGCTGCCATGAGATTGGCTGATCACCAATTTGTGTTACTAAGCAATTAAACAGGTGTACCTAATAAAGTGGCTGGTGAGTGTATACTAATGTACTCCTGTGATCCAAATTTCACAGATGGGGGGGGCTACTGCTTGCACTTCTCCTTTAAATAGGATCTGTCACTTCTGGAGTATTGCAAAGTTTGATGCAAGTAATACAAATTTATTTAAAACTTTTGGCAAAATTGATTATTTCCTGTCCATTCTATCAGCCTGATTCTAGGTTATATGTTGTGTCCACAATGTTCGTTTTAGTCTCCTCTCATGCCAGGTCTTTATTAGCTAGTGCAGTTCATTGTTTGTGATCTCAAGCAGAAGAAGAGTAGAGAGGCTGAGCAGAACAAGGAGGAGGTAGATTTGCCAGAAAATATAGAGCGGCCAGGTGGAAGACTAATGTAGAAGTCTGTTGTAACTTGGACAGGATTAAGAGCAGTGTCTCACATTGATGGCAAAGTCTACACCTTCTACGAAAATCAGCCTGGTTCTTTCTATGGAAATATGACCAGTGTTTGAGATGCATCCCCATGCCTTTTGTCGTTCATTGACATGGCCATGTATGTAGGAATAAAAAACATATTTGAATCACATGCATCAAACTGATTGATGTATAAGATGTTACAGAAGTAAAACATCCTCTAAAGTGTATCTAGACCACAAAACATTGTATATATTGTAGCTTTAGCATTCCTTTTAGCATTTGTTTTCTGGATTTTTTTCCCTTTACTTTAACCTGGTAATCCTTCCAGTTTATATTCTATCATGTTGAAGGTCACTGGTAAAGTGCCCCCCTTACATTCATGTTCAGTGGAAAAGTGCCCCCATACACTAATAGTTAGTGGTGGTGGTTAGTGACATGTGATCACTGAGGTCCCACCTGACACTGGTGATAAGGTTTAGAAGGGTGCCCTTATATTGGTGATCAGAGGAAAAGAGCCCCATTACATTAGTGGTCAGTGACATGCCTTCTTACATTGGTGGTCAGTGATGTTCCCCCTCAAATTGGTGAACGGTCATCTGTCCTCTTACCTTTATGGTCAGTCACGTGCCTCCTTACATTGGTGGTCAGTGACGTTCCCCTTTACAATGGTGATCAGTCATGTGTCCCCTTACCTTGATGGTCAGTGAAGTGTCCCCTTACATTGGTGGTTAGTGAAGTGCCGCCTTGATCATTGAGGTCCTCATTACACTGGTGGTCAGATTTAAAAAGGCCTCCTTATATTGGTTGTCACAGAAGTGCCTCCTTACATTGGTGGTCAGTGACATGTGCCCCCTTACATTGGTGATCATTGAAGTCCCTCCTGGTGGTCAGTAACATGTGCTCCCTTACATTGGGGATCATTGAGGTCCCTCCTGGTCGTCAGTGACATGTGCCCCCTTAGATTGGTGATCATTGAGGTCGCTCCTGGTAGTCATGTTTAAAAAAAGGTGCCCTTATATTGGTTGCCCCCTTACATTGGTGATCATTGAAGTCCCTCCTGGTGGTCAGTAACATGTGCTCCCTTACATTGGGGATCATTGAGGTCCCTCCTGGTCGTCAGTGACATGTGCCCCCTTAGATTGGTGATCATTGAGGTCGCTCCTGGTAGTCATGTTTAAAAAAAGGTGCCCTTATATTGGTTGCCCCCTTACATTGGTGATCATTGAAGTCCCTCCTGGTGGTCAGTAACATGTGCTCCCTTACATTGGGGATCATTGAGGTCCCTCCTGGTCGTCAGTGACATGTGCCCCCTTAGATTGGTGATCATTGAGGTCGCTCCTGGTAGTCATGTTTAAAAAAAGGTGCCCTTATATTGGTTGCCCCCTTACATTGGTGATCATTGAAGTCCCTCCTGGTGGTCAGTAACATGTGCTCCCTTACATTGGGGATCATTGAGGTCCCTCCTGGTCGTCAGTGACATGTGCCCCCTTAGATTGGTGATCATTGAGGTCGCTCCTGGTAGTCATGTTTAAAAAAAGGTGCCCTTATATTGGTTGCCCCCTTACATTGGTGATCATTGAAGTCCCTCCTGGTGGTCAGTAACATGTGCTCCCTTACATTGGGGATCATTGAGGTCCCTCCTGGTCGTCAGTGACATGTGCCCCCTTAGATTGGTGATCATTGAGGTCGCTCCTGGTAGTCATGTTTAAAAAAAGGTGCCCTTATATTGGTTGCCCCCTTACATTGGTGATCATTGAAGTCCCTCCTGGTGGTCAGTAACATGTGCTCCCTTACATTGGGGATCATTGAGGTCCCTCCTGGTCGTCAGTGACATGTGCCCCCTTAGATTGGTGATCATTGAGGTCGCTCCTGGTAGTCATGTTTAAAAAAAGGTGCCCTTATATTGGTTGCCCCCTTACATTGGTGATCATTGAAGTCCCTCCTGGTGGTCAGTAACATGTGCTCCCTTACATTGGGGATCATTGAGGTCCCTCCTGGTCGTCAGTGACATGTGCCCCCTTAGATTGGTGATCATTGAGGTCGCTCCTGGTAGTCATGTTTAAAAAAAGGTGCCCTTATATTGGTTGCCCCCTTACATTGGTGATCATTGAAGTCCCTCCTGGTGGTCAGTAACATGTGCTCCCTTACATTGGGGATCATTGAGGTCCCTCCTGGTCGTCAGTGACATGTGCCCCCTTAGATTGGTGATCATTGAGGTCGCTCCTGGTAGTCATGTTTAAAAAAAGGTGCCCTTATATTGGTTGCCCCCTTACATTGGTGATCATTGAAGTCCCTCCTGGTGGTCAGTAACATGTGCTCCCTTACATTGGGGATCATTGAGGTCCCTCCTGGTCGTCAGTGACATGTGCCCCCTTAGATTGGTGATCATTGAGGTCCCTCCTGGTGGTCAGTGGCATGTGCCCCCTTAGATTGGTGATCATTGAGGTCGCTCCTGGTAGTCATGTTTAAAAAAAGGTGCCCTTATATTGGTTGCCCCCTTACATTGGTGGACAGTGAAGTGTCCGCTTACTACGGAAGTATTTGGAGTGTCACTTACATCGGTAAACTTTAACGCGCCCCCTTACGTTGGTGGTCAGTGAAGTGCTCTTTTACGTCGTTAGTCGGCTACAATATACAGACGTTTACTTCACATCCAGATACAGGACATTCAAGCTCCTTGATGCAGTAACCCGTTTATTGTGCAAATTCATGTTCTTGGTAAACAAAGTAAAACAGAAAGTTTTATAACTTTCATCAAAGTGACTAATTGAAGGTTTCAGAACCATCACACCCTCTACAATCACCTTTACATATCTACTGCCAAAAGAGATTATGTGACCGTGTCCCCTCAGCCACCACTACAAGTACATTAACTACTATTTGGGTTATATTTACTCCTCCTTAGCAACTACTTTTTTTTTTTTACATTTTACGGCAGGTCTGTGTGTTTTCATCGCTCGACAAAATAATGACAGCTCTTCTGTTTTTCCTCTGTCCTTTACAGCTGGAATTTGGTAGCTTCAGCTTACAGTTAAAATTTTGTGTGGCGTTTTCAGGGTGCAGGGAGACACTTCATCATTCTGCCACTTAATTTCACAGCTCGCTACAAGTGTACACTGGGAACCAAATTATTCCTCCTGAGAATGCAGAGCCAGCAGTCATTACTTGACCAAATATTGTCTTTTTAATATCAGAATTACAATAGGCTATTTGTCAGAGGATTGAGCACAATCACTCAGCGCTATCCTCTCATGAGGAATGTACATTTTCTGAAACACAGACGGGTGACAAAGTAATCTTGTGTGCTTTCTTTACTCTCTAGCTCTTCGACGGGATAGAATGCGAATTCCCTCTGTTTTTCATCTACATGATCATTGATGGTAAGTTCCATAGTTAGGTTGCAGTTTCTGCACAAACGGTACTGAAGTTTAGGAGTTTGTGGTGCTAGCAAGTACCCCTATTAGTTTTCAACCAATCCGTATATATAATATTATTTATTACAGGTATTTATAAAGCGCAGACTATTTACTAGGGATGCACCGATACTTTTCGAGTGCCAGTGCCGATACTACACTTTAATTTCAGACTCCCCTCTTTGCATCAGAGTCCCCCTTTTACATCAGGAGCCCCCTTCACCTCAGTCTCACAGTCCCAGTACCACATGGACGTGAAAATGCTGAGGGACATTCCATCACTGGAGCAGAGGCGGAGACAGGTTGAAGGGATTGGTCTGGGAGCTGGGATCATGGTTTGGGTGAATATAACTCTGTTATTTTAGTTCCCTAGGCAAAATAAGCCCTTAACCCTTGCAGTGCAGGGGATAAGTTTATTTTTGCCCGGGGGTCTTCTATAAGGCATAACTTGAATAACCAGGTTGAGTTTATTTAATTTGCAGGGTTTTTTTTTTTGGGGGGGGCGGGGGGTTTATAGAATAGGGAAGTATTCAAAGCTTTGTCAGGTTTTTTGGCAGTCCACGCTCTGGAGATTCACCTTCCTTATTTGTCCTGGTGACCATTGTCACCAAGGTTGAAAGTGAGGCTGCATCCAAGATTTTGAGTTGTCACCAGAACAGAAATAGGGGGGAAGCCTCCATTAGGGACACTGGTTGTGGTGACAACTATCTAAGTGTGAAATTCCATCACCTTGGAGAGAGATCCTCTTACTTTCTGTTGGGTGTTAGGTTCATCCAAGGGATTAGGATCAAGGATCCTTAAAGGAGAACTATGAGGCGAGTGAAAATCACTCAGCCTCATAGTTCTAGCCGACCTGTGACAATGAAACGGTCTCACAGGTCGGCTCAATAGATCCATGGGGATCCCTGCATCACGGCTCCATGCAGGGAGCCCCCCTCACTCCGATCCTCTAGCACTGACTGGCGGAACGGACGGGGGAGGGGGCAGGTACAGCTGGCTCTGCCTCCAGATAGGCAGAGCCAGCTGTCACTCATGCAGCTGGGTGGATCTCGACAGTAATGTCGGGATCCGTCCCGACTGCGGCGTCTCAGTTTACTGAGCTTTGGGTGACGGGAGGACGCTAGTTTGTGTCCTCCCCTTACCCTTAGGAGAACTATGGGGGAAAGCCCTGACCCCATAGTTCTCCTTTAAGTCAAGGATACTGGACAAAGACTCTTTTAACATGCATGCTTTGGCAAAAACTTCCAGCACCGGATTTTCAGCTAAAAAAAAAACAGAGGAGTGTTGGAATATAAGGAAAACTGTACGTGTTTATTTGTTGCCCCTGACATTTCATAATTCCCCCGAAGCAAGTAAACCTACAATAACCCGCTTGTAGTACTGAATGAATCTGTTAAATGCATAATTCTGCGTGTGAATTTAATTCGATAATGAGCTTGTTTTAGCACGTCCTTATTTAGTTACAACACTAAGTGATTGTAAGATGTTAATATTGCACTCCATCTGCTCCCAGCAAAGCTTGCACCTCGTCTCCGAAATCATTATGTGTAAACAGTGCGGCTCCACGCTCCCTCCCGCGCTACAAAGACACGACGCCCACGTCAAGTGCAGCGTGCTTTCATTGTGCGCATTTTAAATGTGTTATTATGTAGAAAGATAAATACCTTTATTATGGAACAAAGAAAGCAAAAGCAGGCTTCAACTTCTGTGTGAAAAGCTGGTGTGTGTGCGCGCTGAAGCTACCTAAGATGTGCTCAACTGCCCACAGAGACATACATCTGAAGTCAAAGTAGATATTAAAAGCACCAGTGAATATATTATAAATTATTTTATAAAATCATTAAAGTGATACTCAACTCAGGAGTTAAATCTTAAAAATGCATTCAAGTACCTGAACTATTAACAACAATGTATCTTATTTGTATATCACTCGGCTGTAGAGCACTACTGTTTTATAGACTACAACGGCCACACATAAGTTCAAAATAAAGTACTATACCAGAGCTGTGTCCCTTTAAATACTGTGTATTATACAAAGTTAGAATGCATCGATAGGGGTTTTTCGGTATCGAGTACTGTTAATAGTTAAAGTACTTGAATGCATTTTTAAGATTTAACTCCTGAGTTGAGTATCACTTTAATGATTTTATAAAAAATTATTTATAATATATTCACTGGTGCTTTTAATATCTACCTTGAGTTCAGAGGTAGGCAATCTCCAGCTGTGCTGAAAACTACAAATCCTTTTTGGTATTGCAAAACTCTGACAGCCACAAGCATGACTTCCATAAACATATACATAATGGGATTTGTTGTTTCACCACAGCTAGGGGGGGCTGAAGTTTAAGTAACCTTGGTATAAAAGTTGGTGTTTCAGATATTAATTTTCTCCAGGACATTCCACAATGCAAGATATAAAAATGTTCATTAGAGAGCAGCCTGTTGGTTCACACAAGGTTAAAGGAGAACTATGGGGTTAAGGCATTTCCCCATAGTTCTCCTTAGGGTAACGGGAGGACACAAACTAGTGTCCTCCCGTCACCCTAGGCTCAGTATACCGTGAGCTACAGCTCGCGGTATACTGAGACGCCGCAGCTGAAGTGGATCCCGACAATTGTGCCGGGATCCGCCCAGCTGCGTGACTGACAGCTGGCTCTGCCTATCTAGAGGCAGAGCCAGCTGTACCCGTCCGTTCCGCCAGTCAGCGCTGGCGGATCAGAGCGGGGAGGGGGGGGAATCCAGCCCCTCCCCTGTCACGGCAGAGAGCCGTGACAGGATCGAGAAGTGAGCGAACGCCGGTATGTGTTCGCTCACCTCCCGATCTACTGAGCCGACCTGTGACAGTTTCATTGTCACAGGTCGGCTAGAACTATGAGGTGAGTGAAAAGCACTCACCTCATAGTTCTCCTTTAAAGCTGCAAAAAAAATGAGATCCACAAAGCAGGTAACCTGCGTCCCTCAGGGCAGTGCAAAGAAACCATTTTCTTATTGTAAAATGTATTTATTTTTTTTTCAACTTCTCAGGGGTTTTCAGAGGAAATGCTGAACAGGTGAAAGAATATGAGGCTCTGTTGGACCCGGTACTTTTTCAAGCATTTGACGGTAATTATCTTTACCTTTCTGAATGTTATATTGGTCTTGCTGCTTTAAACCTACTTCCTTAAAGAGGAGCTTGACCAATTTAATGTCTCCCAAAACACTTACTTTGAAGGCGTGCCAACTGTCAAGGATGTTAGTGTGCTTATTTCATCTCTCAAATGGTTGGCGTCATAGCTGATCACATGTGCAGCACAGTGGCAACTGCAATACACAGTGCCTGCGTTCCGGTCTGGTGCGGTCAAAAAAAAAATGCTGCATGCACTATTTTTTCTGACCGCACTGGACCGGAACGCAGGCACTGATATGCCATGCATTCCGGGGCGGGCGATCGCATCATTGACTTCAATGCACTGTCACGCCCCCTCCCGCCCCAAAACAAAGTGAGCCAGCCGGAATGCGACCCAGCACGTTCAAGTACCAATCGGGCTGGAAACACAATGGGGCTGGTGTGAATTAGCCCTAAGGGATTGGAGGTTGTAGTTCCACTTTAAGTACAGCATCAGGTGGTAAATGATTTTAGTTTTGGATAGATTGGGGATGCAATAGAGAATCTCTTCCAGGTTGTTATTGCCACCTGTGTCTCTGCTTGAGAGATTTCCCCTCGCTTCCTGTTTGGTGGACAGGAAGTGGGGGTAGTCTTTGCAACCGGGACACAGGAAGCAGTATAATCATCTTTTTTTAAATTTTAGTGAGAAAGGGATGAACCCTCTGTCAGGTTTTTATTTATATGTCCCCATTGTTGAGCTTCCCTATTATTTTTGGTGTGACAATAATTGTGTAACAGTTTCTCCAGAGGGGGGTGTACAGGCAGTAATAAAAACTTGACTCTTCAGGTCTTGATGTCTCAACCTTTCCCTCCCTACTCATCCAATACAAGAAAATGTTGGCAGAGGTTACTGAAGTGTAGTTATAGCTCAGGGGTAGGCAACCTTGGCACTCCAGCTACAAATCTCAGTTCTGCCTCTCGGAGTCATGTCTGTGGTTGTCAGAATCTTGCAATGCCTCATGGGACTTGTAGTTTTACAACAGCTGGAATGCCGACCCGGTTAGCAAATATCTAGTAAAGGCATAGAGCGTGGACTGAATCAGTTTTGATGGGGGATCAGCCTATGAGCATGTGTCTGCTTTCCATCATCTTGCCTCCCTCCCATCCCTCAAACTTCCTGTTAGCCACCAAATGCAATCTCACTGGCAATGAGGAATGCTCAGAAGGTGGGTTGGAGGAAGCCGGCCAGGGTGCGACTAAGAAGCTGGGGTCCTAGGGAGCAGTGAAGACCTGAGTCTCCACAAAACTGTCATCTGAAATGTTTGCCATATGTAAGAATTGTACATACTCGCCTATGAAAGATTTATTCATGGCCCATTATTCAGCCTTACATAACCTAAATCTTACTCCTGGCTCTAAAAGTCAGCGAAGTTTGACTTCTGCGTTCCTGCCAACTGCCTGATCACATGCTGGTTACTCACAGTTACTTTACCCCATACATAATAATATATAAATGTGTTTTTTATGTTTATTTTCTTTTTAAGCTTGTATACAAATAGTACGTTAGCGCTGCAAGCATTACACGGGGTTACCCTTCTTGCACAAGCTATATAGATTTTTTCGGTTTCTGATCACACACTGTGAAAATGATGGCATTTAAGCTGTTGATTTAAATGTTCCGAATCCTAAGCGCTTTTTCTGCGGCATTCTCCATCACAAGGGTTTTTTTTTTTTCTTGGGGTAAATAAATAGCAGAGCTGCATAGAAAGCTCTGATTATAAATGGAAGATTACTCGTGCGAGCTGCTTGAAACTGCTTAGTGCGTGGCACCTTCCATTGTGCATCTCAGAGGAGGGTAAAATAAGCTGGGCGCTCTTTGGCACCTCTCTCAGAACACGCTCTCCAGCTCTTGTATGAAGGCGTTCCGCACCTGGCCTCGGGCATGCTAAGCAGGCTGCACAATGTACGGTCATGTCTCTGTAGAAGTGAGGGATGCAGCTTTGTCTCCGCTCTCATTATAATACACAGACATGTTGGACGCTGTAAATTCAGTCATTGCGTCGTGCTTGGAAATGTTTGTGACATTTAGCGTGAAACGCGGTTCCAAATTCCAGATCTGCCCACCAAATTGAGCATGTTCTGGCTCAATCAGTGAGTCGGTGGAAAGAGGAATGAAGAAGCGCAATGTACAGCAACACAGGACGGGCAGAATGCAACTCTTAGCAGACCTGGCTGCTGTAATCTATCTCTTTGTGGGTTTTTTTGTTTTTTTTTACATAATCATTAGCACCTCTACCGCAACAAGTAGAGCTGAAGAGCTGGATTCGAATATTCAGAAGAATGGTCAGAACGTGATAAAGCAAAATGGCTCCAGTGAGGCCGCTCTTCACAAAAACCGGATGTCCCATATATAAGGGAATCCGGGGCTGAAGATATATGCATATACAGTGTGGAAAATAATGATTTGATCCTCTGCAGATTTAGTAAGTTTGCCCACTTACAAAGAAATGAAGGGTCGGTCATTTTTATCATGAGTGTTTTTTTAAATGATAAAGACAGATTATCACCAGAAATCCATAAAAAACACATGATACAAATGTTATAAATTGAGTTGCCGTTCAGTGAGTAAAATAAGTATTTGATCCGTTAAGCAAAACATGACTTGGTACTTGGTGGAGAAACCCTTGTTGGCAAGCATAGAGGTAAGATGTTTCTTGTGGTTGGTTACCAGGTTTGCACACATCTCAGGAGGGATTTTGGTCCCTTTACAGATCTTCTCTAAATCCTTAAGGTTTCTTGGCTGTCGCTTGGCAACTCCAAGTTTCAGCTCCCTCCATAAATTGTCTATAGGATGAAGGTCTGGAGACTGGCTAGGCCACTCCATGACCTTAATGTGCTGCTTCTTGAGCCCCACCTTTGTTGCCTTGGCGGTATGTTTTGGGTCATTGTCATGCTGAAAGACCCATCTTCAGTGTTCTTGAGGGAAGGAGGTTCTCATCCAAGATTTTACAACATATGACCCGTCCATTGGCCCCTCAATATGGCAAAGTCTTCCCGTACCTTTTGCAGAGAAACAGCCCCAAAGCATAATATTTCCACCTCCATTCTTGACTGTAGGGAAGGTGTTCTTAAGGTCATAGTCGGCATGTTTCTTCCTCCAAACACGTCGAGTTAATGCCAAAGAGCTCAATTTTGGTCTCATCTGACCGCAGCACTTTCTCCCAAACCTTCTCTGAATCATTTAGATGTTCATTGGCAAACTGGCTTAGAGAATGGTGACACAGAAAGATTTGGGCACTATACCACCTGAAACTGCATGCCCTATATCTCTGGCACACTGGCATCACTGAAAAAGAGAAAACTTGCATTCGGAGTCTTAGAACAGTGGCACGCTGACTTTTGATATCTATGAATAGTTACACTCTGACACTTGGAACGCCGGAATAATGGCACATTGATACGTGGGCATCCAAACTATTAGAATTCTGACATGTGGTGCCAAAGAACCAAGTGGGAGCGAGAGAGGATTCCTAGAACAATAACATACTGCCACTTGAGGTCACTGTTAATAAGTTTAAGAGTGTCTGTGCTATGCTAGCTGTGTCCAAAAAAAGGCAAGCAGAGGACAAAAGACCGGTCTCCAGTATTGCCTGTAGGTTCCCTGCAGTTAATCTCTAACTTACTATGTCTTGTTCTGCACTGTATCTTTATGTGGAGACGGCCATCTTGGTAGAGGCAGGGCTTTGCTTCCTCATGTCAGAGCTAGCACAGTGATGACGAGTGATCTGACGGTTGGTAGGGGAATATTCAAGGGCAGTGGGAGAGATGAAGAAAGCATCAGATAATGCTTTTGTTCAACTACTTAATTCATCCCGCTGTCTTCATCTCCAAGAAATATGCACACAGTATTTTTGTGGAATGAGTGGTGTCAGTTCTGCCCAGTTGCCCACCGTCTTCATCTCCAAGAAATATGCACTAACTTACTTGTGGTCCCTAGATAAGAACAAGGAGGGCATTCAGCCTACACCTTGAAATAACACAGGAAGTGTGCACAGGACAGCTCTGAATTTCTGACCAGATCAACAGATTTTTTTTGTTAGCATTTATAACACAGATATGACCAAATGCTTCCAATAGTATAATTAACTCACCAAACTGGCACAAATAGGAGAAGGTCATTATGCAGGTCAACAGAATGAATGATGCAGAAGCATGGAGACTCTTGCACTGCAGGTCCTCGGGTGCAGCTTCCTCTCCAGCAAGGAGAACACTGGGCAGCATAGTAGGGACATCACCAAATTTCATTTCAAATCTGATGAAACTAAGTCAGAGGCTGCCTTGAATGATCTCACACTGGAGATATACGACTATGAAGCTACAAAACAGGAAGTACATGGCTGTTTCTTAAGAGAAATTCAACACATTTTTCAGGTTACTTCTAACCACAATGAACATTTCTAGATTTACTCTATATGATATGAAATCTTCACTCAGGTCCACTTTAAGCTGCAAATATCCCCATCACAAGTTGTACATCTGCCAATAAATCTCCTGGCAATTCCCATCCACTCTGTGGTTTGCCCCGACTGATAGCTGTTTGTTTGACATTCCGTCATCCATGTATTATTATCAGTCACTGAAAGATATCAGCATGCTCTGGTTTTACACTGTCCGGCTGCAATGTTTCTATTATGCTATGTGTTATTCATGCTCTGTGTGTCTGGAATCTCTCTCCCGCAGCATCGTGCTCCATTATTCCTCTCTTTTGATGAATATTCCACTGTTGACACTTGATAATACATTGCGCAATTCACTCTGTCTGCACTTGTCATGGTTTGTTTCAGAATTTAATGTATATGTAATGTTTTGCGTGCAGCCTTCAGGGAATAACTGCAAACATTGGCGGTGGCCAAGCTGGTCTTCCTTTGCTCTGTATTTAACTGTTCAAGCTCAATGCCAGTTCATTTTTTTCTTTCTGTCTTGGATGGAGTGGGAGAAAAGCTGGAACCTCTGCAAGATACAGTATCTAGGTTTTAGTGCAACGTGTGATTTTCCCGGTGCAACAACAACATATCTAACCCTTACATACATCATGTCACCAGGACAGGAAGCTAGGGGAATTCACTCCAGTGGGCCTGAGGACCGTTCTAACCCTTACCGGCTGTGTCCAAAACTGCAACGTTTTTGCCAAGTTTGGGATTCATTATTATTCTAGTGTGCTGTTATAAAGGGACCCTGTCACCAGATATAGATTCTCCTGGGTTTATAATGTGTATAAATATCTTTCTCAGTCTGTTATTCAAATCATTTTTTTTCCAAGCCATTAAAGCTTATGTCAAGGCAAAATAAAAAAAATATGCATTAAATCTCTGCTATAAATGCACATCTCACAGGGTTTTTTGTTTTACCTTTAAAGAGCCAGCAAATAAAGAATAATGATTCTTGATCAGCCAGAAGCTCTTGAGGGTGGACAACAAACAGTATTTTTGTGGACTGAGTGGTGTCAGCTCTGCCCAGTTTTCTTTTGTTCAGCTACTTAATCCATCCCGCTGTCTTCATCTCCAAGAAATATGCACACTGTATTTTTGTGGAATGAGTGGTGTCAGCTCTGCCCAGTTGCCCACTGTGTTCATCTCCAGGAAATATGCACTAACTGTCTTGTGGTCCCTAGATAAGAACAAGGTGGGCTGAATATACTCCTTGAAATCACACAGGAAGTGTGCACAGGACAGCTGTGATTTTCTGGCAAGATCATGATTTTTTTGCATTTATAACACAGATATGACCAAATGCTTCCAATAGTATAATCAACTCACCAAACTGGCACAAATAGGAGAAGGTCATTATGCCGGTTGACATACATTTTAAAGGTTTCTAAACATCTGACACTTCTAGGAGTGTCAAAACCCTCTCTGTACTGGCACATCTGGTCTCCACTTCTCTCCTACCACATCATTGCAGTGTGTGAGATCCTTGCACAGCCTCCCCTCTACTTTGACAGACAGCAATATATGTACACACATTATGGAATAAAAGAACATTGTTGCTCATGCGTCCACAGCTGTCATTGCCCATGTGTAGGCAATGGCACAATTCTGACCCTAAGTACTGCTGCAAACACACCCTCTGCTTTCTCTCTCTCTCTCTCTCTCTCTCTCTCTCTCTCTCTCTCCTTTCTTTCTTTCTTTCTCTCTCTTTCGTTGTCTCTTTCTTTCTCATGCGTCCACAGCTGGCATTGCCCATGTGTAGACAACGGCACAATTCTGACCCTAAGTACTGCTGCAAACACCCTCTTTCTTTCTCTTGTTCTCTCTTTCTTACCTCTCTCCTCTTTCTCCTTCCCCCTTCTCTTTCTTCTTCTCTCTCTCTCTCTCTCTCTCTCAGCTCACAGCTCACACAATGCAGCAATCTTGGAGGAGAGAAGGGGAGATCAGATGACGTCTGCACAGAGAGGGATTTTACACTACCAGAAGTGTCGGATCCTTAAAAAACCTTATTGGTTTTTGTAAAAAATGCCTGGTGAGAGGGTCTCCACAATGTACCAACAATACATGTATGATAAAAGCAACCATACTGCAGGCAGAGACAGTACCGAGTTTTTTGGGGATTTGAACAGTTGAATATTCATTGAACATACAAAATGGCCGAACCTTTTTCACGCTTTTTTTCACTTTGTGCCAAGTTTCTTTATATTAATTTTGTTCTGAGGATTCATATGTTCTCTGCTGCTTGGACATACGATGGAATTGTTTATTAAAAGTTATTTCCCCATTTTGCCATTTTTTTTCCCTTTAGGTTGTCCTGTGGTCCCAGAGTATTACCACGTTCCAGCAGATTTTGTGGAACCTGAGAAGCTTAACCCAAACAGCCAGAAAAGATTCCCTAGTAACTGTGGTCGGGATGGCAAGCTCTTCCTTTGGGGTCAAGCACTGTACATCATCGCCAAGTTGTTGGGTAAGTCACAGAATGCAAAGTTCTCTTTTCTCTTTATTATCTTCGCCTAATCACTTTGAAGGTGGCGTTTTGATTGGTTGCGTACAGCGCTCATGTCCCCCTGACCCTTGCTTCGTAAGACAGAACACACGCGGGTGTCAATATGGCCATACATGTATGATGTAAGTGGTTGTTTGCATAGAGATGTCTTGTAGGGCATGTACCTGGTCTCGGCATAGGTGCCATAGTGGGCAAGCCTATGCTTGCAATCACAGCATATGTACAGATGGAACACTTGCACTAGTGAGGCTTTGAGAAGAGCTGGAGAAAACTAAAGTCGCATGGTACATACCAGCTAAGCATGACCGACTGTCATATGTCACCTGCCACCTCTAAAAGGTCAAGAAAACAGATAGCTTGTTCACATACAGAATGAAATGTACATTGTCCACTCTTATAAGTCAATTAGTCCAGTGGGCCTCCCATCGCTGTCTTTATTACAGGAGGAGAGGCAAGCAGGCGGTTAGTTGTGGAAAAAAAAAGGTAAAACAGCAATATTCCCAAAAACAAAATGTGGCCTAATTAATAATTACAATTGTGATGACATCCTATTTATAGGTCTAATATATGTGTAAAGTTCACAATAGTTGTAAGAGCAGCTACAGTACAGTACAGTACTTGTCCAGTATCTTATTTCCTTAAAGAGTACTTGTCCAGTATCTCACTTCCTGCTTGGTAAACTCTTCACTACTTCTGCCATGGTCCTGATCCCTGTCTTTGAACATTGGGCCCTGGGTGGTGGGATTTGTAGTCTTGGTAAGGGCAGCTATTCTTTATGGCTCTGTTGTAGTGAACCCATGACTACTGCTGTGCCTGCATCACAAGACCAGCCAGTTTTGTGATTCAGGCACCCCAGACATACCAGTCCTAGATCTGCAGCGCAGGTAAGCATTAGAGCTTGTTTGACCTATGCAATACTTTGGAGTCTTTATAGGGCCCAGCAAATATTCTATATAAAAACATGGCAGTTGTTTATGATACATGGTGTGTTAGCAAGCTAAACATCATCTAATTAGGTGTTAGATATACTGTAAACAGGAACTCCAGGAAAATCACAAACCTACCCTTATAGTGGGCACTATAAGGGGGCTCAAATAAAGTTTGTCCCCTAGACAAACCCCACACTGCAAGGGTTAAGTACTCGGCTTGTCTAGGGGACTCAAATAAACCTGATCCTCAGTCCCTTTGGTATGCTAGCAATTTTCTTACAGCCTCTACTCCCTTGGCTCGGGTGGTCTAAGGACCACTGACCTCATTATGTCTTATGGAGGTACAATGACCTGCATTAGATATGAGAGTGCTGAGGGAAATAGATGTGTGCGGACCACTGCGGGACCGAGGATCAGGTCTGCTTTATTTGAGCCCCCAAAACAAGCACTTGACCCATGCAATGCAGGGGTAGCCCCACTGCAAGGGTAAGTTTGTGATTTTTCCCGGAGTTCGTCTTTAATAATCATTATCAAAAATGTGAAAAATATTAAAATACATTTTCGAATGTCTTTACAGCTTTAACTGAATACAAAAATAAACCATAAAAGCAAGCAGAGCAATACCACGGCCAGCGGGCACTCCGCCGTTATAACAGTCCACCCCTCTTAGCGCCAGCTGACCGCAGACTGATAAATTACTGCTATCTGGAGTGTGTTTTAGCCAATGACCCATGCTCGGGTGACATACTCCGCAGACGCTTGTCCTGGGCATCACAATGACTGCAGAAGCGGCTCTAATCCAGCTGCTGCCCTCAATAATGTGTCTTGTTCATTCACCCTGTCGACTTAAACGTCTTTCAAACTGCGTCCGTCTCAGACCCTTCACCGAGGGAGTTTGCTAAAGACTTCCAACGTTTTCTACACAATGCGAGTCTCCGCTCCTCTGTAAAACCGCTTAGATTTATGTGCCAACCTTAAATCGTCCGTCTCTGTGCTGAAATATGAATTATGGCTTTGAGCCTCTCAGCGTAGCAGGACAGAATGTTATCCTGTATAATTTGATTAAAGTCTGGCTGTTTGTAAGCAGAAGTTCCAGGTTTAGGGTCCTTGTGCCTGCATGTAATAGAGAGAGAGGTGCCTACATGTTGAACTCTACTTATATAATTCAGAAAACATGTTTATTGAAATATAAACCTCGGTGGCCATAGAGGATGTAAATCCAATTGATGTGCCTTTGCAAGCTCTAAAAAGTAGCAGGGGCATCATTAATGTAATTGTTACAATATGGGCACATATTGGCCTTGCAGCACTGGAGGTCCCCAGGTTCGAATCCAGGCCAGGTCACTATCTGCAATGAGTTTGCATGTTCTCCCTGTGCCTGCATTGGTTTCCTCCGGGTACTCTGGAATCGTCCCACACCCCAAAGACATGCCGGAAGGTTAATTGGCTCCTGTCTAAACTGGCCCTGTATGTATGCATGTGAAATGGGGACCTTAGATTGTAAGCTCCACGTGGGCAGGGACTGATGTGAATGTACACTATGTAAAGCTCTGAGTAAACTGTTGGCGTTATATAAATACCAATAATAAATACTGTACTGTACATAGCCTGAGCAGAGCTGTGGGAGGTGCCCAGAAAACCCCAGCCACAACAGACTGCCAGTAGAGAACTACAGAAGGGGGCGGGTACGAGACCAGACACCAAGCACAAAATGTCAGAGCAGCAGTGACCAGTCTTTATTACAGGAAACTAACTACACAGGGGCAAAGTACAGGAGTGTTATGCCAGGTTATTGTACAGATCCGAAAGAAATAGATGGACCTAAAAGGATGCCATTTTTTAAGTAAGGCTACGCATGGCTCTTGTGCTTAGACAATATTTGTTAAACCCAGATTTCCACTTTAACCCTTTCGCTGCCAAGGACGTACGTCGTACGGAGCTACAAAAGTGCTTCCAGCTGGCCAGCTCAGTACGTCGTACGGACCTGGCATTTACAGTTCTACTATAAGCTGATGGTCGCTTTAGCGACCATCAGCTTATAGTAGAACTGTTCAGCAGACTGTCCCCTTTAAATTAATAGCTGTCATCAGGCTATACCGGGGAGCCATCCCAGGGAGGGATGAGGGACTCCATGGATCCCCACTGCTTGTAGGGTCTGTGGCAGCGGGGATCCATTAAAAAATCACCGTCGGGGGGGTCCCGGGAACGAGCGGCGGCTGGCCGCAATTCAGGATGGCTGAGCGTCTTCTGAAACCTTTACTGAGAGAATACGGGGAGCTTTTTGCTGACTTCTGATAACGCTTGTTCCAGGTCAGTAACTGTGAAAGTATAGAAGCCAGTGAGCCAGGCAAGTAGCCTAGTAGGTCAGCAATAGTAGCCGCCATATTTTCCTCAGTACAGGTTTACTTTAAATTCCCCTCTTCTGAAAATGCTATTGGTAAAACTATGACTTGAGTATAGCTGCTTGAGGATTCTCAACAAAAAGTGACTCTATCACTTAAAAAAAAAATACTGCTGGTGGGTATAAAGTGCACCAAGAGGTGTCTGTGCACACGTGTAGCAGCTCCCCTTTTCTCTGCTATGTTCACATGAACAAGTACAGCCGTGGCACTCGGTGGTAGGGATGGAGCTTATACGCCCCCCCACCCACTCTTGCCTATTTCAGTTACCCCATTCCTATTGGCTAAAAAGGCAGTCCATCATAGCTATGGGCCAATAGGAATGTTGGGGGTGGAGCAAGCTCAGGCACCATCCAGAACTGCCTGAGCTTTGCATGGTATTCAGGCATAACAGAGGGAATGAAAGCTGCTGTAGGTATGGGCATGTACATGCGAGTGCCTATACTTCTTTTTAGGGGGACAGAGTCAATTTAAAGGGAAAAGCAACCTTATCTCTGGTAGCTTTCACCTCCTGAGAATAGCCATGTCCAACTTTAAATTTTACAGCGAACTCAAGAGCAGCACAAAACTTTAGCTGTTTGTATCTCTGGATCTACTACTCATGTTGACATGCGGTTTTCTCTAAAGAAAGACTATGCTTGCATCTTGCTCATCATATTGCATTGCCAGTATTTGTGACAGGTTCTCTTTAAGCCTGCGGGTGTCAGTGCCTTGTGCTCTTGTTTTCTTTTAGATATTGAAAGAAAGACATAACCTTTCGCTCAGTATGCAAACATCTTTCATCTTTTTTTTGCAAGGCGTATCATGCGAGCTCCGTGCTCCAGGGGGCGACCTGAAGCATGGCGCAGCCCATTAGTTCTCTCTATAAGGCTGGCTTTAAATGCCCGGCTTGCGTGTTTCTGCACAGCATGCTCCTCCTGCAAAACACAGCTATATGCCGGGTTCCCTGTTTTATAGCCCTGTGACTCATCCTTTTGATTTCACAAATGAAAGGCTGCAGTAATTGTGTTTCTTGGCGCTCATTTAAACTAAAAGAGGCGAAGTCGCATTTACGCGTTTTGTTCTTGAATGTTTTCTCCGAAGCCTCGCAGCCTCCTCGGGATTTATGGTGCTTGCAAAATGCGCCACGGTTTCATTGCGCCGTGACGGGTGTTTTGAGAGTTTTGGCTGCCAGAGGACAAGAACGCCATATGAGGAACAGGAGCATTACCTTCAGAGTATAGGTGTTGGTGATAAAGCAGGGGTAGGTGTCCTCGGCACTCCAGATGTGGTGAGACTACTAAACCCATCATGCATCTGCAGGTGGGAGTCATTCCTGTGGCTTTCAGTCTTGCAATGCCTAATGGGACTTGTAGTTCCACGTAGTGCCGAGGTTGCCTACCCATGGGATAAAGCAAAGCCACCTTTTACTCTCCATGCTACGAGTCACGTGTTCCAGCATGCTGTGCTTCAGCAAGAACATGAATGCCTATTGTATGTAGTTCATCATCATTTGAACCCACAAATTATTTGTAATGACTAGCGTGTCAGTCTTGTAAACCCCCCTTGGGACTTGTAGTTCCACCACAGCTGGACTGCCGAGGTTGCCTACCTCTGAAGCCAGCGTTCATCTTTTAACATTCTAATAAACAACTATTAAGCAATCCAGTAAGTTAGGTTACGCATACACAGCCAGATACAAGTTTGCTGCCTGGCCAGTTGGACAATAGTTTGTGACCTATGAGCCATGCGTGGGCTTATGCTGCAGGAATAACATGTCCCTGCGAACATTTCAAGCGCTTGTTATCCTTAACATACTATCCTGCATCTCTATGACCAGTCAGGTTTGTTTTATGGTATCAGTTCATTGTTGTACCATGACTAATTCAGTGGAATTGAATTGCAAGCTTTTCGGGTTCGTGCATCAGGATTGAAAAGGGCACCATACTTTTCACTACATGTGTGCAACATCGAAGCACTGCATTCAGGGGGAAAGGATCGGATAGGGTCCTGCTACAGACTGCCAACCCAACTGCTCCAAAAGATATTGGGGCCAGAGTCTGCTGATCTGGCTTGAGGATCCGTTCCACTTACATGCAAAAGGAGTGTAAACATATCTGGGGGTTCAGTTAGAACGTCCCGAAGGCCGGGTGTTACCCCGAGTGGGTACCGAGTGACACCCCGCCGTGACGTCATTGCGCATCTTGATCATACCTGCCGGCGGGATATGGTATGCCCCCGGGTACCCTCCTCTCTCCTGCAACTGTCAGGCTCTCTGTCCATGACCAAGCACCCGACTTTTTAGATGAGGTGACACCAAAATGACTATCAGTCATTTTGGTGTCACCTCTCCAATGGTGTCACCCGGGTGCGGGCCGCACCCCCCTTGTGACACCACTGAGCTCAGTTGCAATGAGGATATTCTATAAAACATTAAAGTAGATCTAATCCCTAAGTGGATAAAAATGTGGGTTTCTAAATCATAAGAAAGTTGGGGGTTTTTGTTTTTTTTTAAATTACTGTTTTCATCCATTTATATCCTTTTATATTCTTTTTTTTTCTTTTATATAGTAAAAAAATAAAAGTAGAATACAATTATAATTATTTAAAAAATAATAAATAAAAATAAATTTTATTGAAAAATTAAAATTTTATATAGTAAAAAAATTAAGAAAAAGTATGTTTGTACCGTGTTACATGGCTGAGTAACTGTCAGTCAAAGTATTACAGCGCTCTAAACTGAAAAATGATCGGGAAGGGGGTGTAACATGTTGGTATTGAGGTGGTTATCACGGGCACAAGCTCAATTTAAGGATTAATCGGTTTCCAGTTTTTAGATGTATCCAATACAAACCTCATGACAAGCCAAAGATACAGTTTCCATGTTCTGCAAAATGTAAACCAGAAAAATGTGATATGTGGCAATAACTAAAATCCATTTTCATGTTCATATAATTTGTTATTTCTTTTTGTTGTTTTTTATTTTGCAGTGGAGGAGCTTGTAAGTCCAAAGGACATCGATCCCTTGCATCGTTTTGTTCCTCGCCAGGACCAGAGAAATATCAGTATGCGATACTCTAATCAGGTAATACACATGCAGCAAACTCTCTTCAGTCTCGCCCTAAGTGGTGCCAGTCATGTGACTGGTCACTGTGCCTGCTATGGACATTGTGGCATTGCAATGTAGAATCTTCTGTAGAAGTTTAGGCTTGATGGCCCCCACCTCAGCGATGCTCCCCATCTTACTATGCTTCATAACAAAGCAAGATCCAGTTTTCTGCTTGTGCAAAAAGGCTTGGTTCTATAGGACCCTGCAAAGGAAAGGAGCCACCCTAAAACAGGATATCAGGGCCAGTGCTTGGAGACCACGTCCATTGTAAGTGATTTCATCAGCATCAAAGAAGAACTTCGGGCAAAATGTTTATTGACCCTTGCAGTGGGGCCACCCCTTATTTTCTTTCTTTGGTTTCTTTCTCTCTCCCCCTCTCTCTCTCCCTCCCTCCCCACCCCCCTTCTCTCTCTCTTTCTCTCCCTTTCTTTCTTTCTTTCTCTCTCTCCCTCCCAGTCATGGTCATCAGGTTTTCTCTCTCTCTCTCTCTCTCTCTCTCCCAGTCTTAATGGTCGGGTTTCTAAACAGCACCAACTTTCTCAGGTTTCCTTAACTTCCTGTCCAGTTCAGGGTCACAAGGGATCTCCAGCAGCTGATCATCTACTAGCTTAGAGAAGAAATGAAGGAGGAGGGTGAACAGTGGGGAGGGGAATGGCTTGCCTTGCTGTGCCTGTGTGTTTGTGGAGACACAGCTCACTAGCACACACAAGGGTGGCTCCATGGGACCCTGCAAGGGAAATGAGCCACTCTAAAACAGGATATCAGGGCCAGTGCTTGGAGACCAGCCGATTCTGCAGGAAGCTAAAACCTTTAAACATCAAGGAGCCACCTCCATTGTAAGTGATTTCAAACAGCTTAAAAACCTTTTGACTTTAATATCCCTTTAACTCATTGATGCGGTTTGGTGGACCGTAGGAGCCATTCAATGACTCGTTTCACATTTTATTGTTTTATAATTCAAAGATGAATTAGAAAAAAAAAAAAAGTCTGGTTTAGCTTCCTCTCTCGCGCAACAAAGCATTATTTTGCTCTTGGAGCTTTAAGAATGAGGATTGAGCTCGTCCGGCAAAGAAGCTGAACTGACACCGCAATCTAACCGTCACCAAGTCTTCCCAGATAAGTGAAGCGGGAAACGATCGCAGAGCGCGTGATAAGACACTCCATCAGGTGCAGCCGCCCGTGAAATTCTGCCGCAAATACACTGGCTCAAATGAGAGATGGAAATTCATTTCGATATCATTCTCTGGGCCTGTGAACTCTCTGGAAGGCCCCGTTGTGGAGCGCGAATTCATAAAACTGTTATCTGCGCCCCGTCTTTTGATGAATAACGTTAAACTCAAACTCTAAATGGAAAGTTTTGAGTATTATACAGCAAAACTGAAAAGAAAAAAAAAAGTAGATGTTTGTTCTTTAGATTCAGAAGAAAAGCAATGGTTTGGAGGTTGATTGCTTTTTAATGTATACAGTTTAAGTATATATCACGTAAAACTGTTATTTTCAGGTTGGATAGAGCCGGCAATGGTAGATCAACCGTTAAAATGTATCCATAACCCAAACTTTTTTTTCGTTAAAGTTTTGGATAGAGTAAGAAAAGATTAGAGCGTCTGTTGGGGTTTCCGGATTTCCGTTCACTTCCTGTCCCAGAGACAACCCTTTCACCAGACAGTAAGGGAAATGCTCCAACAGCAATACAGAAGTAATAAAATTCTTATTTTTTGTTAATTAGGGGATTGCCACAACGCTGTTAGCATTTTATTGTTGTGTTTTACTTGTCTGGTAAAGTGTTGTCCCCAAAACAGGAAGTGAGGGGAGATCACGCTAACAGGAGACCTATTGGTTGCATTAGAATTCGATATGTCCCATCGCACTCCTGAACGGAAAATCCCAATAAACACCGTGGGTGCAGCAGCGACAGCAGACGCCTCTTCAAATCACATAGAACCAGCAAAAAGTAACTCGCACTCCAAAGTGATGCCCAGTCATTCTCTTTATTGACTATGGTAGTGTAACATCTCCAGGCCTAGAGATGTTACACTACCATAGTCAATAAAGAGATTGACTGAGCATCACTTTGGAGTGCGAGTGACTTTTTGCTGGTTCCATTATTCCCCTTTTTTCCATGGAAAGAATTCCTGCATGCTCCGTGCTTTCGCTAACAGGTGACCTATTGGTCGTCATTATTGCCCTTTCACCTTTGGCTTTTCCATGGAAGGAATTCCACGCATGCTACTTGCTTTCGCTAACAGGCGACCTATTGATTGTCATTATTGCCCTTTTACCCTTGGCTTTTCTATGGAAGGAATTCTACGCATGCTCCGTGCTTTCGCTAACAGGCGACCTATTGATCGCCATCATTGCCTTTTTACCCTTGGCTTTTCCATGGAAGGAATTCCACGCATGCTACTTGCTTTCGCTAACAGGCGACCTATTGATTGTCATTATTGCCCTTTTACCCTTGGCTTTTCTATGGAAGGAATTCTACGCATGCTCCGTGCTTTCGCTAACAGGCGACCTATTGATTGTCATTATTGCCCTTTTACCCTTGGCTTTTCTATGGAAGGAATTCTACGCATGCTCCGTGCTTTCGCTAACAAGCGACCTATTGATCGTCATTATTGCCCTTTTACCCTTGGCTTTTCCATGGAAGGAATTCCACGCATGCTACTTGCTTTCGTTCCTGCCATACAGCATCGAGGAAGCATCTACCTGCTGCTTCTCCTGCTTGCAATGAGCCTCATGGATCTTTGATCTGTTTCTGCTGCCTGCCTACAGTGACTTTGGTCACCTCCGACCATCTGAATCTTTTGTTATTGACTCTAGACCTGCTATTAGCTGTCTAGGTTTTGTGAGTACCGAAGGCCTCAACATCCTGTGATGCCCATTGCTTCAGACTAGCCCAAGTGGATGGGGAATATCAGCCTCGTAAGAATTCTGGCAGACACACCACTGACCATGCTAGACTGTCCGGGTCCACTGTACCAGTTTGCTATGCAATGGCTTTTTGAGCTTTGGGAATGCCTGGTAGCAGTTGTTTGCTGCCTCCCTTCAGACAGCTGTTGGTCCGAAAAAAGGACAAGAAAGAATATAGGACACAGGTCTCAGCCCTTCGTGTTTATGATCATGCATTTAGTACTGATACAAAACTGAGGCATGCCAACTGTAAGGCCCCTTTAACACGGGCTGTTCAGGAGAGGATCCATGCAGAGATCCCCTCCTGATCAGAGCAGTACAGTTTTTTTCTTTTTTTATGATGAAGGAACAAATTGCACTTACCTGACCCCATGCCAGTGTATGGGGAATCTGATGTAAAGGGGCATGTGTCCGTTTACACCAGATAACCCACAATCCGGTCCGTCAAAACGGAACACTGTTCCATCTGGTTTTTTGGACCCAGCCAGAGGCGGGGTAACCAGCTGTAAACGTACACTCATCCATTTACACACGGCTACTCATGGACTTACATTGTGCATCCGATCTGGTCCGCCTGAAAAACTGACAGGCTGACCAGATTGGACCACCCGTGTGAAAGGGGCCTAAGAGGGATTATGCTTGACTGGCCTACAGTTTGGGGTTTTTATTTGTTTGGAAGTGACCTATCCTCCTGTAGGCAGCAGTATACCCCAAGGTTTAGGACTTCCTGTGCCCCCCAATCAAAATCCAAGAAAGGGATGTTGCAGTGAGTACAAAGATCCTATTGGTCACCAGGACAGATTCAGGGCCGGCCTTAGGCCTTTAGGCGCCCTGTGCGAGAAAGCTTTACAGCGCCCCTCAGTGGCCACCCCCCCCCCGTAACCACACCCATTTTCCCCAATATCTGCAGCATTTAAAGACTCCTATTTTGTTAGGCCAGCACTTGTCTAATAATATGAGGGGGGGCAGTATTCACTTTTTTAAATAATTTTTTATATTTTTTATTATTTTTCTTTATTATTTATTTATTTTTTACTGTTGGGGGGGCG